GGGGGGGGGGGGCAAAGCAGGGTAAGTAAGCACATGCACAATAGAAGTCAAAATGGCACAGGGGGAGGTGTCTGACCATAGAGGCCGGTCAGTCTAACCTGGGAAAGGAATCATTGGCTTGGGGGTAGACCCATCAGAAGCCTGGAAAGCTTAGGAAGTTGATTGGTTATTTTGAAAAAGTTCCTGATTCTTCCCAAGCCTGATGATAAAAACCAAGGGGAACAAAGAATCTCTTTCTCCCTCTCTCTCTACCTCTCTCTCTCACTCTCTCACACTGGCCCCATTCATTTCATATTCTCTCCGTAAGCAGCCATGCAGGTCTAGGCCACCTGGGGCCCATAGCAGATCCCACAGGCTCCAAAGGCTTCAATATGAAACAGCAACTCTGGGCACCAGCCTTCGTTTTGGCCTGGATGAAGATAAGATTGGACTTTTTCTATGGCAGAACAGACAGAGGTGGGACGTTGGAAATCCAAGAGCGGAACACTTTTGATTTTGCATCCCAACTAAATCTTGCCACACCATAATGTCCCATGCATGGGTCCTTGGAATGCTTTCCTCGCCATCCCATGGAACAGCCCGACTTCCACTGACAACACATTCATAAGGAAGCAAATTCAAAATGGCATCCTGGACTAACACATATTTACAAAATACAATTGTCTATTTGCAGAGACCATTCTGTTAACTGAGAAACCACTAGGCTCTTTTCTTCCTTTGGCAACTCATCCCAACAAAACACATCACCAGCAAAGACCTGTTTGTGGCTAGGTCACTGGCACAAAGGAAGAGAAAAAGTCAAGCAAGGAAGGGCAATGTTCCCCTCAAAATGACCACTGCTCCCCAATTCTCAGATGAAGAAGGTCACAGGATATTTGATCCAAAAGACTCTGAACAGGAACCCAAGAAGAAAAGGGCCCTCTATCACTATCCTAGCATCCCATGATCCATCATTTCCCAGAAAACACAGCTGATTTGGTGTACATTTGGTTAAAAAAAAAATTGTAAGGAAAGCTATTTGTCAAATGGACAGTGGGAAATACTTTTCCCCCATCCCCTGCAAGTTTCTAACATTCATGGCATACAATGGAGGGGAAACAGCCATAAAAATGACTATGCGCCCTTTTGAAGTAAAGTAACTGCTGGACAAGTGACTATAAAAATAACACCACTGAGGAGATCCAAATTTATTTCTGCTTAGTGAATTTCCAGATCAAAATTATTTCTTCTCAGTGAATTTCCAGTTAATCTGTCCAAGTTTTGCTTTTGTGCTGTTTTGTTTTTTCTAAAATTTCCTTTCTTTTCATAGATGCTAGCAGACTCCACGTATAATAGAAAGAGAGCTTGCCCACCTCACACGCCATCACTCAGGAAGAGCCCACGGTTGTCTGGCAGCTGCCAGTTCCTCAAGGAGTGCTCAGGGAGGGGCGAGTGCCCGCAGAGGTGGGCAGATGGCAGGGCAGCTCCAGGACAGAGTGACCAAAACCAAGGGCTGTGACCCCACAAACTGTGATGGCCAAGTCCAAGGAGACAGGAGCTCAGACAGCCTGCTCACCAGAAGGGCCCAGCTCTGTCTGCCCTTGCTTGGATACTGCTGACTTACTCCCTTCCACTCCCTGATCCTTTTCCTTCCACCCCCTCCTCACAAACACACACACCTAGGCACAGGCTCCAAAGTGGCAGACAACTCAACACTTGACCTTTCAGGCCATAAAGGAGTCTCCAGTTTTCTTGTGAAGATGGAAAAAAGCCATACTCCATTCCCTGTCTGCCCTGGCCGCCACCCAACCATTCCCAGGCCCAGAATATTCAATGGCAATTACCCAGAGTCAGCATGGTACAGATTAGTGCAGGGCTGCCATTTGGAGGCTTAATGAAGGGCCCTTAGAAACATTCAAGCTGGGGGAGAGTAAAAGAGGGGGAGAGGGAAGCATGTGAGGAAGTCCTTCTCTGTGTTGAGTCTGAGTGTGTAAGCCCTGCAAAATGAGCGTTTTTGGACTCTATGACAGTCCTGCAACAAACGGGTCATCTAGTTAAAGGCTCTGCAGGTGAGAAAAACTCAATTTCATTTTGGATCTAAAATCTTTCAGAGACTGCTTTTGAGCAGGCCAGACAATTAAATCAATTTAATTTTCACGGTTTATAAAATCCTAGATCTACAGAAAACATAAATTCTGACCAATTTAAGTGTGATCAGGTTTCCATTTATATTACATAAGAAGATTTCAAGGGCTTGAAGTCACCACTGTTCCAACTGCATTTAATAATTAGCCTGGTTTAAATATTCCAGGGACACTGAGGAGCTCGCGAGCAGACAAGCAACTTCAGGACAGAGGAAAGACAATGAGAGAATGTTGAGGGTCAGAAGAGCTGGATCACAGATGCCAGAGCTGGGAGAGGGAGGTCCACTCTCAGGCGGGGAGTCAGGGAACCCAAGTACGGTGACAGAGCTGGGGCTAGCACAGAGGACTTTGGACACCCGGTTCAGTGCTCCTCCATCACCTCCTTTCATTAAATCAAGAACCCCAAACATAAGATACACCTTGGATAAAGGTGAGGGAATGAGGCAGGGAGGCTGCTATTGGTTGAATGGCAGGGGTTTGCCCAAACCCTCTCCTGTCCACTCCCTAGAACTGAGTAAGGGGCTCTATTTTGTGACTCCAGGGCAACTTGTGAGAGGATTGTGTCCCGGAGAACAGCCCACAGGCCCAGGAGTTATCAGCTCATTCAGAGGCCTTGCAGGAATTTCCTGTTATGTGATCTGGGTCTTGCAAATAGCCACAACCAAGCCGAGGCTGTCACTTCTTCCTCTCCCTCTTAGGAGAAATGGCTGCTCTTGAGTCACTAGTTGCCTGTGCCCTACAGCGCTCTGAAGACTGGGCCTAGCTCCAAGAATGTCCAAAGGGAGCCAGTATGAGGATCTGCGCTGAGAACAAAGAGCAGGCCAGCCCAGGGGACAGTGAAATCCCAGCTCCAGGAAGCTCGGCTCTGGGTGAGCTATGGCTCTGCCCAGAGGAGAAACAGTCAGCAACATGGAACTCTCTGCACCCAGGGCCATGGGCCTAGTTGTTAACAAAAACCTGCAGGTGCTTCTGATTTCCCTTCATTGTTTTGTTTTGTTTTTTTCCCAACTGTAAGGCATATATTACACACAAAAACGTGCATGCAAACACATGCACAGCTGCCCAGGTAGCTAACTCAAGCACTGTAGCACTCCAGAGGCAATTCCCACCCAGCTCCCCCTTCCTGTCACTCCCCCATCCTCTAGACGTAACCACCATTCTGGCTTTCGGGGAATCATTATAATTTTTACTACTTGTATGTGCATCGCTAAAGATCACAGTTCAGCTTTGTCTGTCAGTGTTACTGTTCACTGTAGCTACTGTTTGCTCACTTTTGTTTCTATACAATATTCAATTGCATGGATATACTTTATCCATTCTGCTATCTATGGACATTTACATTGTTTTCAGTTTTCAGTGACTACAAACAATGCTGCAGTGCATATTCTTAAATATGTCCCCTGGTTCTCAGGTATGGGAGTTTCTCTGTGAAGCACACTTGACAATAAAACACTGCAACACCTGGACTAGGCAATGCCAATCTCTGTTCCAAAGCTGTGCCGCCTTTGCCTTGCTACAAAACACTGATAGACCCACCTGCTTATACAGAGGAGCGGTCACTGGTGACCCAGAGACCAAGAAAGCCTAGTCCATCACCGGACTGGAAAGTTAAAGCTAGATCCTAACACCTCCTCTATAAGACAAAGCCCAAGATTTTAGAATCCTGAGCTTAACCAGAGCCAATAACCAAAACAGCTGAGCTTTCCACAAGAAAAATACCACGAACTCCCCCAGAAGAATGAGATGGCATCTCTGGCTCCGGAGCAAAGCCACCTGCCCATAATATGAACTGTAAGTAATAACTACAAATGGGTCCCGAAGCTATTAAGTGCAGAAAGACTGCACGCTGATAAATCCCAGTCAGCCACAATGAC